CGTCCCCACCCTTTTTGTGCTGTAAATCCAATAATCTAAATAAAGTGACCGTTAAAATACAGCTACTCGCTTGTGAGAGAAATAAAGTTCTAGATTTATTATACCTGTATTATTCTTATAGCTTACTAGGTATCATAAACAAAACGACAGTTTAAATGATTATCCCCACATGTGAGAGAAATGAAGTTCTAGATTTATGTTTCACGGTATCCCGGGAAAAAAAAAGAAAATTTAAATAATAGTCTTTACTTGTGACAGAAAGTAAAGCTGAGTCCATGGACAAGGCCTGTAAGATAAATAGAGTTCTAGATTTGTGTTTGAGAGTTCTTCAAAATAAAATTTTGCATCTGATCTTAGGACGCGTTTTGGCAGAGCCCCTCGCACATAGTATTATGACAAGATCACCGTCCAAGCATTAAGGAATAATAGATTGAAATATCTAGATCTATACAAATTTAGTCTCTCTTTTCCTCTGAAATTTGAAATGGAGAAGTAGATTTTTTTTCATTCTCAGTTTCCTACACAGAATACAGCTCAAGCTACGGGTCACAGGCATTTAAAACACTATCAAACTGGCAAGACCTTTCGCTGTCTATGGAATCGAACTCATATCTTCGTTGTGCCACGATAAAGTGCCTAAACTGCTACCCCACAAACGCCGATGTAAAGCGTTCCAATATTATTTGAGCAAAAGGTATTGACGCAGCCATATGCTAGCAGTATATTTGACAAAGCCATTAATATGCTGGTGGTATGACTAATCGCTGCTCTTCCGTGCGTGCGATTCTTTCGATCGATTCTGGCATCGGTCGAGGGATTTCCACAATAGAGAACACTCACAGGCACGCGCCAGTGCGTGCGCGCTCACACACATATACACACACTGACACACATACAGAAACTCACGCACACACACACACTCATACATACACACACAAATACACACACAAACACACACACCACTCCCACACTCACGCATACTCACACACACGTTCTATCTTTCTCTCTCTCTCTCTCCCCCCCTCTCTCTCTCAAACACACACCTACACACACACACACACACACACACACACACACACAT